ACCCGCCCTGCTCCCGTCCATCACCCCTGACGGCATCACTGTGACCCGCCCTGTCCGTCATCACCCCTGACGGCACACTGTTGACCCGCCTGCTCCCGTCCATCACCCCTGACGGCATCACTGTGACCCGCCCTGCTCCCGTCCATCACCCCTGACGGCATCGCTGTGACCCGCCCTGCTCCCGTCCATCACCCCTGATGGCATCGCTGTGACCCGCCCTGCTCCCGTCCATCACCCCTGACAGCATCACTGTGACCCGCCCTGCTCCCATCACCACTGATGGCATCACTGTGACCCGCCCTGCTCCCATCACCCCTGATGGCATCACTATGACCCGCCCTGCTCCCATCACCACTGACGGCATCACTGTGACTCGTCCTGCTCCTGTCACCCCCTGGCTCTCTGGCTCTGACCCTCCGCCTTCCTCTGCGGAGTGCCCTTGGGGACAGAGGTCTCAGGTGAATGATGCACTGTTTCCAAAGGTGGAGGACGAGGGGAAGCTGGGAAGAATGCCGTGTGGGTTTTGAAGTCACAGGAAGGCAAGGTGCGAATATCAAAATGAAAAGGCAATTGCAGCTGGAAACAAAAACAAAGGCAAGCGGGTCTGAGACGGTGGCTTTCAGACAGGCCTGACCCAGCGAAGCAGGTGCGGCGGCCGCTACCCCGGAGGTGCTCGAGCTGCGCTGGCTGAGCCAGGAAGGGGCCCGGCGCAGGTGCTTCGGTGCCAAGGCAATGGCGAGAAAGGTCTAAGGGCACCGGGACATGGCCTGTGCTTCGTCCCCACCTTCCGAGGTGGCATAAGGCCAACGCCTGTGACATCCTCTAAAGGGACAGGGGGCCGGCCAGGGAGGGCCAGTGTAGGGAGAGGACGATGGTCCCATGCAAAATCATCCCCAATTGTGTCACCCCCATGACCAGGAGTTTGGGGTGGGTGGCCCCAGGTCTTCCCTAAGGGTCACTGTGCTTCTGGTGGCCTTGCACAAGTCTGGGGGTGACCTGGCACCTCCCCAGCACAAACAAGTGCCCGGCAGAGTGCAGCAGAGAGAAGCCCTCTGGACTCCTCCCGGCCAGAGGCAGAGGCAGAAATCACGGTAAAAACCAGTCCACGTGCCATTCGTGGACTTAAGCCCACGCCCTGAGAGGCAGGGTCGTGGCAGGTGCAACGCAGGTGGAAGTCACCCAGGT